AGTTCAGCTGCTAAGTTCATAAAGGTCTGCACATCCGGGTGCTCCCAATTGGGTATATGAAACTCGTATAAGTACTCGAGTAGTTGTATGCTGGGCCGGATTCCGATCGATTTAACACGTATCTAAATGTTTTATTTATTAAAATTATTATTATATTAAACAAATAACTCTATACTAACAATATGCATAGTCATGTAATAGCATTTTTCATAGATGTGACACAGAGCATTAAAACAATAAGGCATTAAGTGCAATTATCTCGTTAACAAATTTTCCATGTTGTTTGTAAATTAATATGGGATTTAACCCATACTAAATTCATTTGAGGCATTTTTATACGTTTATCGTTTTATATGCTTTTGTAACCAAAATGCACTTACACTCCAATATTGTTGGAGAGTGATCGGGGTAAAATCGGTCATTTTGCTCAGCGCCTCGTTCTCCTCCTGACAGCCGTCGCAATATTTCTGCCACTCGTCGACATACCTAAGGAAGGGCGTAAATTTCAGTGTAATGTTCAAATATTTTATTTAAACTTAACTTTTGAAACTTTAATCTAAATTTATTATAAAATATAAAATTTTTAATTGTTTTTAAGTTTAGCCTAACGATCCTATAAATCACAATATTCATAGCTAAATTGTGGTTAAAAATTATAATGTTCTGATTATAATTTTAATAAATTATTTATTTGATAATATGTGTAATAATAATTTTATAGTTTAAATTATAAAAATTAATTATCCAATAAATAAATATATGGAACAAAGATGTCGCTAGTATGAAGTGGTTGAAAATTTAGCCTAAATATTTAAAAATACCCAAAATATTTCCTAAATTTAGCCCTAAACATTGCTTAAATCTCCACATCCTTACATACCTCAGCCGCTGGTCCGCATCCAACGCCTGGTACACCTCTTTGTACACGGGATACACACCCACCACATAGGACTTCCACTCGTTCATCGGCACCCGGGCTCCGGCCAACTCGTCAAACATGGCCCTAAACTGGCCCCAAACCAGTCGACCCTCATCTACGCGCCGGCGCACATCGCCATAGCTCGGGTTGTCCGTGTGATCGTCAATGATAAAAAAGTGAATAAATATTTTGAGAATGTCGCCGTACCTCGACTCGGCGATTGGCTCCGGGTAAAAGTAAGCGGTCATAAACGCCGAGTGGCCCAACATGTCATAATGGCGCCGATTTAGTTGGCTACTGGGGTAAAGCCAGCCAACCCATTCGCGCATCCGGTGCTCGTGCGTGATGTCCATAGGGTTACGCTTGAATGGCATTGCGGTGTGAAATCGTGGTGTGGGGTATCGGTGCGGGTATTGGCGGAGCCCCCGGTCGCACGAGCTCGTCAGCCGGCCTTCGGCACATTCCTCTGGTTCTGTATGTAAATACGCAGAATTATAAATTGTATTGTGCATTTAAACATAAATTAATATTAATTATATACCTTATATGTGATAATATAAATTATAAAGTTTTATCATTATTAATATAAATAAAACATGCAAATATGCTTTTACAAATACAAGTTAAAATCCTGTAATTCTCAATTATTCTAATAGTATACATACCCTTTTCTTTGCTAAGTGACATTGTTGATAATATTTTGTATTGATATAAATAAAAACAATAATATTACACTTTGTCACAAACAATGTCTTAATTATTATAACACTTATGATTGATTGTGTTTTAAAATTTTGATTTTTGAGTTAATTTTAATAAAACTGTAAAGTTGTTTGAGGATTCAGGATGTAGTGTTCCCAGAAACACCCAGGAGTTTCCTTGATATGGCAAACTTAAGGAATTGTATGCTAATAAATATATTGATAAATATTTACATACTAATTTTTAACCACTATTCTGATATAAATAATGTGGTTTATAGGATTGTTCGGCTCCCCCAGCCCCCACCCTATGGGATTTAACATGGGATTACAGTTTAAACCTATGGCATAAGGATAACAAGGGCAATGCTAAGTCTATGGCATAGGAATAGCATAAATAATGCTGAGTCTATGGCATAGAGATAACATGGGTAATGCTAAGCCTATGGGAGTAATGTTATTTCAATGGGATAATGCTATTTCTATGGAGATATACTAAATAAATCTGACATAATAAATAAAACTAATTCTTGTAAAAAACATTTAAAATTTTCAAAATAACAATAGTAAAAGTATTCCAACAATCGTTTGAAAAGTTTAAAGAAAAAGAATGTTAAAAGAAGAGTATAAAGAAAAATTTAAAATCTTTTGATGCATTTCCCGAATAGTGGTTAACGTATAGCAACGCTGTGTGAACCTTGTTTTCTATTAAGAACTCATATTTTGTTTGTTATCTTACAATTGATATGTCAAACATTACAATGATCATAATTATTTTATGTAAATAATATTGCCAATTATGATTATTAACATGTTTTGTTGTTTGGACCAAATATTTTATTTATTTAAATATTTATATAACTTTTAAGGCTATTTACCAACTCAAGAAAGACGCAAGGACTAATTTTAAAAATCTAAAGGAATCTCTTAAAAAGATTTACTTAAAAATGAGTTAGTCAAGGAATTTGGAGAATTAACCTGGACACACTAAAAGGCAGACTAATTTAAATTGATATTTTTACCGTCTGGTTTATAACAGAAATTTCAATAGAAAATGTCATATTAATTTCATGATTTGATTAATCATATTTAGTATAATTTGATTTGATTATAAACATAATATTAAATTTAGTAGTTGACATAAAATTTGTAATAATTTAAACACACACATCAATAATTAAATTTATTTGCAAATATTTATATTATATTCATAATAAGTAAAACATACGTATATTTTGTTGGCATTGTTTATACTACTCATTAATATTACAAACAATAACAAATTATGTTAAATATAATTGCCAATTGAAAATTATTTAACATTAAATGTTTGTTTTTATTAACATTATAACGAGTTTTAAAAAACACACAAAATACAACTTTGTAAAATATTTGTAAATGATCACAAGCAAATTATTATATTATTAGATATCATTTATTAACAATAATAAAATTACACATTAATATACCTGTATGTAAAGTTTATTTTAATTGGATTTACGCTAGATAAAAAACAAAATATTATAAAACATAATTAATATAAAACGAATGCTAAATTTATTATCATAAATTGCAAAAATAGGTATCATTAAAATTATTAAGCCTCATCAGTTTCCACTCGGTAGCCGCCCTCGTACTTAACCATACACATAGACTCGCACAGGGCTTCCGTAGCAAAATGATTGGCCCCTGCGATGAGGGCAGCGCCACATGTCTGGATGGCGGTGCAGGCATACAGACTCTGGTCATAATACGAGCCCTGTATTGAGTGACTGCCGTCACAAACGCTAGTATCCGGGGCTTTAAGGCATACGGCAGGCTTGGGTTCAGGTGCTATGGATTAAAACAGAGTAGTACAATTTAACATGTATAATTTAAATGTTATTTTAACAAATTTATATCAAGTTATATTATTATGTAGATTTAATTTGGTTAGATTAATTTGTATATTTAATTAGTTTTAGTTTACTTACTTTGAACAAGTATGTCGGGCAAATTAGGCACATAAATGCTGTTGGTACAAGTCAAAAGTACCGAGTTAAGCAAAATTATTGCGATTATATTTTTCATCATTATTGTAATTATTAAATTGTTAATTTTGTTTTAACAATTGAGTAATTTGTAATAGTTATATTGATTTTTAACAATTTAATTGCTATTTATATATCATATTAGTTGTTATTGAACTATATAAATTCTAAAGCTTTTGTTTAATGTTTGCTATTCTAATGAAACATGTCATGGTTAAAAAATAACATAACCCTTTTGTTTTATCTAGTATTCAATTGAAAAAAGTTTATTATTTTAGTAAAACATCAAAATGATATTGATACAATAAAAGTAATAAATATTTTACATTGTAAAAATTTGTTCAAACCTTGGTAATTGTAAATTAAAAAATTACAAGTAAACAAGCAGTTGATACTCAATTAAAGTAATAAAGTAATATTAATTTCAAATTAAAATTAAAAATAATCTCTCTATAAATTAAAACTTTTAAAAATACAATAATTTACAAATATTACATTAATTTTGTANATAAATTAAAACTTTTAAAAATACAATAATTTACAAATATTACATTAATTTTGTAAACTAAAATTCTGGAATATGGTTTCAACCCGATTATACATATTTTAAAAATTTTCATCTATTATATACTACTAATATTACATTTTTTACAGCTTGGAAAGCATTATAGCAATCTATTAAATTGATAAATTGATAGTAAAATGATTACTGTAAAATTATATAATTGTAATATTATTTAAATCATAATTAATCGACATGGCATCAAATTAACAAAATAACCTCTATTTAAATAAATGATAACATATATTTAATAATACATAAAATTAAAAATGTATAAATTAAGACAAATCTGG